CCCCCCCCCACAGCCAGTGTAACCTATCTGGGTACTCTAACATGCAGTTTTATGGATGGTCACTGGGAAAGGTGCAAAATAGCACGGTACAGACCTGGCCAAGGAGAGCAGCGGGGGAAGATCCTACTCAATGAGGTCTTGAAGAGACGTTGGAGACTTATTAAGGCTGATGGAATTAAAAAAGAGTCCTCACAAGAACAGCACGTGGACATCATTTCATATAAAATTCACTAGTATCTATACTCATATTTATGTAACAACCTCAAACACTATGCAGTCCTCAGGGCATACTGGACAGATCCACATTTTTGTTTCATCCCAGTTCCCTGAACACCTGACCCAAGGAGCTGTAAATACCTTACAGTTGTGCTGGGAACTGGGATGAAACAAAAATGTGGATCCGTCCAGTATGCCCCTAGGACTGCTTTGGGAAACACTGCTGTACATTTGTGCTACACACTTGATTCTTAGTTACTGTTTTAACTCGCGTTTTACATTGAGAATCATGTCTTCTGACTTAGGTAGAGCTGGACCAGGGGGTACTGGACCCAAGAAGAAGGGATCAAAGTGAGCCAACAGTACAGAACCAACTGGAGCTGGACCCGGGAGAAAAAGTATACCCCTACTCAGAAGTTTTATAGTCTCTGCAATTAATCTGGGGGGCGGGGGTGAGAACAAGTGAGTGAGAGACAGGCAGTGTGAGGAGATCTTTTCCAGATGGCCAGAGTCAATGCGGCAGATTATCACTGTACCATGGGAGTGGGACCAGAGGGGGGGCGAGCTGAAAAAAAAACCAAATAAAACAAATCAGGCATTTAAATTCCGGACGAGGAGACGGACCCCATTAGGAGCTCTGGGCCGCCCTTAATGGGGGACGGGCACCATCCAAAACACCGGGGGCCCCATCCAAAACACCGGGGGCCCCATCCAAAACACCGGGGGCCCCATCCCCGGCCGGCCATGATTGGTTGCCCTGAATCATTCCACATGAGAGCCACCCCCCTCCAGGGCAGACACTCTGGGTAATCATCCAAAGGCTGTCCTCCTGTTCCGTGTGGGTGGGGGCAGGGGGGGGTGGTTATTTTCTGTCCACAGCTGTCCCCAAGACAGCAGCGACCTTGGGTGAGGCAGACAATGAAGTGGGGGTTGCCAGGTCATGTCTCTTCTTATGTACCCCCCCCCCCTCGCACACAGACTCAGAGGCTAAGAATAATGCAGTCCAGTCCATCCCCTGGTGAGTCTTTTTTACAGTTCCTATTATTATATGTCAGAGTACCAACCACAGGGCAACCCCCCCTGGTTAGTAGCTCCCAGAAAGCATAGACATGCTCCTTCATTGCTGCTTCTGGGATTGAGAACAGCCGAAGACTTTCCGCGGGGAGCAGTCACCAGATAACGCACTGAAGACACGGTAAGAGGTACCAGGGACTTGGGTGGGGGGCAGGACACAGATGAGGGCAAATTTACCATCACCATAACTGGCAATTCTAGGATTTTTATAAGGTGGGGGGCATATGAGTGGCCATAATTCATACACAGGGGCCAACTTTATCATTTGCCAATGATATGTTTTGAACTGGTCAGTGATGGGGAGAGGGCACTGTGGGAGCCAATCAGCTTTCAGCTGGGGCTTGGCCCCCTGTGGCCCCAGCAGGGGCGGATTAACGCACAGGCTAGATATGGCTTAAGCCTAGGGGCCCCACGTGTGCCAGCCTGCAAGGGGGCCCCCATTGGCGCGGAGCGGGGCTGGGTTGGGGGGCCCACAGACTACTGTAGCCTAGGGGCCTCCGTACACCTTAATCCGCCCCTGGGCCCCAGCCCCTTAAACAATCCTGCCATCAATTTTTTTTCAGGTAGAAAGATGGAAAATGAGCAGCCAGTAGGGGAGAGATAAGACTGGGAGAGTCTGTCATGGCAGCCTTGGCCAGGCGGGTCAGCTGACTCTCCCCCTCCCCTCACACTGGAAACGCTGGTGCTGCGGCAGAGTGCTGTTTCCTTGGTTTCCCAATAAGCATATCCCAAGGCAAGGTAGAAAAAACATATGAACAAACATTTAGAAAAGATAAAAATATCTTTCCTCACATGGCAAGAGGGGCTTGGATGTCCCAGAGCAAAGATAAACTGAGTGAGAGCACATGTGTTTATTTCTGTACCTTATTACCAGTATTCTAAGCCTGGGTTCCGGTGTCGTTTGCCCCAGAACAAAGACCCAAACCCTGACGCTCAAACCCAAACCCAGCTGAACCCGCCCTTTGCACATCCCGATTCCCCTTCTGCCACACTGCTCAGTTCACATCCCCAAATCATGCTGCTGGGACAAAATGGGGTCGATCCCTACCCCCCCCCCCCCTTCTTAAAATGAACCAAAGGAGCTAACTGTGTCATGATCAGAGCAACTCACAGGACTAGAAGATGACTCATCCCTCCACATTCCTCTCACCAGCTCCGTCAGATATTTTCTACCTGCTGAAAACAACATCAAGATGTCTCTTTAACTCTATGCAGGCCTCCCTGTTTCCTTGGAAGTCGATCCCTTATACACAGATGTAGGTGTAACATCCCTTACAGGCTAATTTGTTCCAATGAAAAGGCTCAACAGTCTCCTTTTATCTTAGGCTGGTTTAGTTCTGCTCGTCAAATACAGCATTACAAATTACCATCAGACTCAAAAGTGGTTGGTTATTCAGTTCTTTAATTGCATGGCATTGCAATAATTATCACATAAATTTATTACCTGCCCACGCAAAGTTGTAATACTAAATCATGCATGCACTTAAGCAAAGTTAAGAATGCAAGTGTATAAAAGTGTGTTGGGTCTTTATTTGAATTTGATTGTTGTTTTTGACTCTTTATCACTGAGGGTGTTGAATGAACGGGACGTATAATTGGTTGGTGTCCTTGGTGTCCTGGCATGAGGCCTCGGGGCAGAGAGCAGACGGCGAATATGGATCATGGGCCCTTTGTAAGATCCCCAAAAAAGATCTGGGACACCAGAGAAAGTTCTGCCTATGTTATACTTAGGGATCAGAGCACAAGTTCAACGCAAAGAAAAATGTAAATCGTGCAGGAATTCCGCGCAGTGGGCTAATATGGCTCTTAATCTTAAAAGGAGCGGGTGAGGATAATGAAAGGACACCTCCTGCCAAGATAAGGGCGACGGCGCAGAGGGAAATGGCTGAAACGGATATGCCTCCTCGCTTCCCTCAAAGCTGTCGGCGTGTTAAAGGTGCGATCGTAGCCTCTGCTGACGGCTTAAGCTTCCATCTTGCAGGAAAGCCATGCAGAAAGCGGGATCCGCGGATGAAGCCTTTCAGTCGCGCAGCCTTTGAGGGCAGCTCTCTAAGGAAAAATCGCATTTTAATCACCTCCTTACATCACTTGATCTACAGCTGGGTCAACGTTCTCTTTAAGTATGGATATGCCCAGGCTTGCAATATATGTTCTCTGAAACATCCAAATAATCTTAGTCAGGCCTTGCGAATTTGTACATTGAGTAATCTTTAAAACGGATCTTAACGGATGCCAGTGTGCTTGATCACAGTTTCCTCAGAATCCATCCAGGCACAACAACAATGGGATTGATGCCATGCTTTCATTCCTGCTTTCAGTGGAACAGGTGATGGACTGGAAAGACCAGTACAAGACAGAGAAGCTGTCATGCCCACCTCAAGGAGGCCGCAACCGCAGCTGACTCCACTTAGGACTAATCAGTAGAGCTGCCTACTTAGGCCTCGCACTGACGGCAGTGCAGTGCGAGATATTGTTGGCCTGCCACTACTGAGTGCTTTAACCCTTTGTTCTTCCCACAGTTACGTTCCGTCCATCTGGCCCTTCCCGAACTTCCTGTGCCTCCTGCCTGGCCTCCTTCCATTCCACTCCTCCCCCCGTGAAGCTCCCTGTGGATTCCCCTTCTTCGTTCATCTGCATCTCCTTACTAACCCCCCGGCTCCTCGACCCTCGTCTCCTCCCTTAACGACTGCGACTTTGGATCTCCACTCGGCTTTTGGTGTTTCTTGCGGACGGCTTCTGGTTAAGACCCTGCGACGGCTTCTGACCCTTGCCTGTTTCGCCCTGAATAAACCTGGTTGCCTGGAATCCTTTGTGGTCTTGTTTGAAAGAACAGAAGGGGTCTCTTGTCAGGACGGCGTGCCGAGCCATGAGATGCGGGGGCTGGGAGTGGAAGCTTCCCCCGGAGGGATTGGGGTCCTTTTCGAGTCTGATGGGGGCCTGGCTCTAATGGGACTGACAGCGTATAACCAATGCAAAGACAAAATGAAAAAAAAGGAGGAAAACGTGGACGCAGAAAGGCGTGGGCGTGCTGGGTCAGGATGTCGGTGTGCATCACTAGAGATCACTTGAGCTGTGAAAAAGGAGGGAGAAACACACAGCAGGGAACTAGGAATGGGTGTATCCAACTAACGCCCCAAAAGAAGGTCATGTGACTCCTGAGATGGGCACACCCCCTTTTCCACAAAAAAAAAACCCAAGGGATCTTTGTGTGTTACAGAGGGCGTTTGATCTTGTCTGAGCGGCAGTTGGATGCGTGTAGCGTGTTTTATCTCCATGGCTTCTACTCTTTCCCTTTCACCCCATGTGTGCTGAGGTGACATCTCGCTCCAAACTGTCCTGTTCAGGAACACTAGCCGCTAGATGCGCTGACACTTCAGGTTCTGCTTTTCTTACTACCCAATTGTTCCTGTTTCTTATGGCAGGTGTCATTTTTCCAGATGAGTCCGTGAGAGGTAAATGTGCCGTGTTAATAATAACATTTCCCCTTCATCCTCTTGTTGTCGCTGCCCTCATCTTCCGCTTCTCTCCTGCACGCAGTGTTACTCGCATGTGGAGAACTGACTCACCGGCAGGATTTCAAAGGCACTCTGTTGAGGTCTCTGAAGCTCTCTTGACGGCGAGTCAGAGAGTCAGAGATGGCGCTTGACACTCAGTCTCGGAAACGTAACCCTGCTCGTGACGAACGCAAAACGTGGGCGATTGCCAATCTGACTGCTGGCGGCTTATAATGAGAGACCGGCAGGAGCTTCAGAGAAATGTCCCTGGATGTAAACTAAACAAACTTTAAGAGACCTATTTAAACAACATTAAATAAAAAGCACCTTCTGAATAAGTCAGAAATAAAGCATCCGTCTGGAACAGAGGGGGATGTCCTCTGTGTGATAGAGATTAACCCTCAGAGACTCGTGTGGGAATGGGAACTCCATCCCCATATGGGCCCTGGGCTGATTGCCCTGAATGGGAATGTGGTGGAAGTCATCTCCCAGGGCAGGGAAAGGCAGGCGGGGGGATATGCATAAGATTTAAAATTCCAATGAAGTCTCACGTTTGAGGCCTACAGCCATACCACAAGAATATAGAGATTCTCCTTACTAACTAGCAATTAAATCCACTCCATTAGTACACCTAATGTATTTCTCTTTTTAATTCTCCGGAAAACGGCTTGTGGAAGCTGCTTTTGACAGCAGCAACGAAAATGAAAAAAAAAAAAAACAACATGCAGCTCGGAAGTTGTAATTAGAGGTCTTACAATTGATTACGATTGAGTGATTTAGCTGCCGAACCCCATTAATCTCACAAAGGCAGACAACAAATGCGCAGAAGCACGCTTTTGATGTTGGCATCCTGAAGCTTGCTTTTTTCCCCTCCAGTCCACCCGCCGCTTCGGCAGAGCGTAACCTAGCAACCGGTTTGCCGCGTGTGTGCTCAAGCTTTCCCGCATTCGACCGTCCGGTCGCTCGCTCGCTCCCGCTCTGTCCGTCCAGCCGCTGAGTATTTTTGGCGAGCGGGCTGCACACTCACAAAGCAGCTCGGGGAAGGGGAGGGGGTGCGTTAGCAGGTGCTGGGTGGTCAGAGGTCATGTCGTTTACCCGAGATGTCTGTACGCTGCTGTCGAGGTGAACCAGGAAGTGTGCAGAATTAATTTACATTTACATTTCTTTTATTCGGCAGCGGCTTTCATCCAAAAAGGTAGTCCCAGAAATGACAGGGGGATTAAGGGCCTTGCTCAGGGGCCCAAGACTAAATGACTTAGCTGACACCAAGACTGAAACCAACGACTCTCAGATCACTAGCATGCTCTGCTAGATAAGAAGGGAAAGATACACAGTGGCCAGAACGCCACCATAAGAAGCAGACTGCTGCTTACATTATGGGCAAAATATACGTGTACATCTGAAGTAGGGCAGTAGGTGGGGTACAACTAAAGGGTGTTCAGATCGTGGAGGTGCTGGGTGATATATTACTCTGAAGAGAGTGCTTAGCCGAAACATCTTAAATCTGCACGACCTCCCGTCAAAACCATCGGCTCTGGATTCACAAGACGCTTTTGCTGGCATACAAACCTACTTTTTTAGGGAATTTCTCGGTAGGCCGGAGACCCTCAACGTCCCTATGGAACACGCAGGCGCGCATGAGCGCGCTGATCCTGGCACGACCGTCCTGAATGCCTGTGGCGCTCGACAAACCGAATGCATAACGATGCAAATGACTGGTGCGGTTTGCCAGAGATCTTTATTGCATCATGGTTACCAGAAACAAGAGTCTCTTATCTCATCTGGTGCTGTGTGAGGCTCGTACGTCGAGTTACTCACACGGGGCCACACGTAAGAAAAAACACAAACACACAAACCAGATGGAAACACAAATGGCATTAAGGATCACTTCTGCCACCAACAAGCAATGCAAAGCCGTGCTATGTGGTTTAAAATGCGCAAGTCCAGCCTGGAACCCAGCGCGTCCCCTCTGCTGTGTGCATTCATATGCGTGGCATGCATTTCACAGTCTGCGGCCTTGGTGAGTAGCGGAGGTGAGGGTTGCAGAAAAGCCTCACGGGAATGGTGGTGGCTGCATCGTCATCAGCCCTGCCGGTCGTGTCCCGAATTTGTCGTACGGGGACCGGGATCACGGACCGTTTCTCTCCGCTTGGTATGTGATAGAGCAACTCCTGGGCGGGAAGGTCAGCCCTCGATTTTCACCTCCCACCTTTCGAGGAAGGTCCCGACCCCCCCTTCCTCAGGCCGAGGCTGAGAGTCCGCTGCCCCCCAGTGCGAGGTCTCCCCTGAGGCTGTGGCTAGGGGGGGGGCACCTGGGATCCAGTTCTGCATGTAGCTGGAGGGGCAATTTGCCGTAGTCTGAGGTATAATCAAAGCTGGGGAGTTTGACATGGTGTCCGGGGTTTGGTGAGGATCAGGGGGGCTGAGGGCTGACCTACAGAACATGGGATTAGCCTGGAAGGGCAGGTACGTCCTTACAACATGGTCCTCCGTCGGCATGGAGTCCTGCCTCTCCTCATCCTCCTGTATGATCAAGCAGGAGAGCATGGGGGCCCCCTCCCTACAGGGGCGTGAGGCTGAGCCCAGGTCTCCTGCAGGTATCTCCGGCGTCAAGAGGGCAAACAGCTCGGGGAGCTGAAGCAGCCCGTTGGGGCCCTTTTGGGTGAGCAGCACCAGGGGACCCGGCTCGGCCTCCAGCGTCTGTTGCCCCCCAACAGGGTTGAAATGGGCGGGGCTGTTGGGCGTTGCAGTCATCTGCAAGTGGCCCCCTCCTGCCTCTGTGTCGGGGGCGGGCTGTTGGAACCACTCAATTTTATTATTGTCATACTGTACCCCCGCCACGAGGCTATAGTGCGTGGAGGACTGGACACTGTCCACACTGCTTTGCAGCAGTCCCTGCTGGTTGGCATAGGAATGGCAGGGAAGAACTGCATTATTGCAGTGCTGCAGGGGGTGACACTCCCCCCGGCTTACTAATCCCTTCGCCTGCAGGTCATGGGGGTCGATGGAGATGTGTGGCGTCACGGTGCAGAACTCAAGCCTGCTGATATAAACGTTCTCCTTGGAATAGTGCTGGCATGACTGCTGAGGCTGGTTTCTCGTCAGCGTCTGTAACAAAAGACCCAAGTAAGGACCAGGACATCCGCTGAAACATCAGGCGTCGTGGGCCGCTTGGATCATCCTCAGTCATACTGTGTAAATATTGACATTCGTTAAGCCCATTTCCTTAATAAAAGCATTAATGAGAACATTAAATGAGATTAATATGCAAACGAGAGGGATTAAGATGAGCTAATTCCTGGTTTCTAATATTTTCTTGTGCCTGTTCCTTTGTAAATACCACAGAGAATGTAAGTAACGGAGATTTAGATAACTCATGGCGAGCTTTCAAATCCAGTCCATCGCTTCATTAAATCAAACATGCATTAAAAGCAGGACTGCGATATCATTAATGAAGCCCCGTTCTGCTAATCAAAGCCGGGGACGTTCTCCGCGAGGAGGCCCTGCCTCAGAGAAACACGTCCTCCTTTGAAACGTGAGACTCTGAAGGTGATAAGGACAGCGCTCAGGGCGGCCCAACCCATTTGCAGGCAGGCGGTCTCTCACCAGAGAATAGGGGACCTGGCTTTTCCTGCTGACGTACAGCCAGACGGTAGTGGAGATCAAGGCCATGATCAGCAGGACCCCTATCACGGCGGATGTGACAAACAGGGGTTTTAAAGGCATCGGTCCTGGTGGGAGAAGGGGGGAGATGAAAAGATCAATGTTACGGGCTGGTGTGTGACCATCCCTGCCGTACCTGCACGGGTGTTGTGCAAGCAGCCGTGTGTTTGCTTTGCAAGGTACACCGAGAGTAAACAATGAAGCTGGGTCACTGTCAATCCCGTCAAGAAAGAAGCCTAAACATCTTCTAGCAATGAAGCTCACGCCCAAGGAGCAGGAACACAAGGTCGAGTTATCTCATTAAGACAGAATCCCTTTCGCTTGGACGTGATTAGGCAAAGCACCGTGAGCAGTGCTCATGAAAGAGGTTCTAGATCCACACACAAGATCTGATACATTATATTCAGATTAACGGAACTTGTATTGCGCATTCAACTGTGACTGTGATGCCTGCTCCAGCTGCTTAAACAATTGTTTTACAGTATTTACATTTTATTTAACTATTTCACAAATATATATTTTTTTCATTCCAATGAGAAGTTTCTCTCTCTATGAGAGAATCAGTCTCGAAACGTATTTCCTCATAGTACTGTTCAACAGCTGTAGGCAGTGTTGGAAAATATTGATCTTGCTCATTTGTTATTAAACTTTCACCGGATATTCTACAACTTGCGCCTGCATTGTCGCATTAAATGCACCCGGCACAGGCTTCATGCAGGACCCGCAGTACCTTTGTGGGTTTTCACGTTGAAGACGGCAGGGTCGCTGGATCGCTTTTTGTTGCTGTATTCCACTGTATAGGTGGCCAGTCCGCAGTACTCCGTGTTGGGCTTCAGGTCTTGCACTGTCACTTCCCTGCCATCTGAAGTCTTTGGTACGACCAGATGGTACAAAGCTGAGGTTTATGTACATTCCCATATTGCATTGAAATATGCCAAGCGCAGGCCATTTTAAGGGTAAACCTAAGCTGTATTACAGTATTACATGGCCAATATGGTCAGGGGGCGTACTTACATTGGTGTGGAGATGTTTCTGTGGGTCTAAGATTTTGTGACACGGCAACTGCACGGAAAAAAAAATCATATTTGACTTCTTTTAAGTTACTCTTGAATCCTCATCCCAGAGTATTCACCACCCCTCTAGCACAATAGTTACGACGGACCTTGGAAGAAATTGCACTGATAATAGTGGCAATAATCTGATAATCCAGTAGAGTGCCAGATGTTATGATTACTCGACATATCAATGACGCATGGTAATGTCTCGGGAACCTGCAGCCTGTCCTCACTTTTGCTCCCTGCCAGCTCCCAATATATTAGTACAAAGCATTTCGTGCTTCTTCAGTCTTTGATTCATTCTTGATTTTTTTAGATTAGCTGCACTGGGACCTGGGAGGGAACCAGTGTGGACTGTCTGGGGGTCCCTGAGGGGTGGGTGGAGAAACGCTGTTGGGGATCACAGTGTCTTTCTCACCAGTACCAAGGCTTTTTAATAGAATCTGTTCAACAAGGGTTGTGAGTCATAATATAGTCGATACTGGAAGTCTATAGTGGAATACTCACACAATAAGGCACACTTTGGCTACGTTCACACTGCCAGCCACATCGTTCAATTCCGATTTTTTGCTCAGATCCGATTTGTCTATCTTGACGGTTCACATTCATAAGCACAAGTGACCTGTATCTGACTGTAATGTGAACGCATCGGTCCTCCAAAACATCACGCATGCGCACATTGACATGTTTTTACGCGGGTAAAAAGCTGGACGTAAAATTGGCACGTTGTGCGGCCATGGTCGCTGCGCTGATTCGAGTCTTTTGCCTCTTTAAACTTTGACTTCAGGCTCTTTAGTTTTCTTTGGCATTGTAGCCACGTTCGTGTCCGCGCTGTTCCATTTCTTTGGCAATTATTTCAAATACTACTCTATTACGATAGGTTCCTTCCAGTTTAGCTTGAACAGATTAATTTCCCCAAATATCAATTAAATCCCCACCGTCTCCATCCTTCCACTGACTGTTATCGCAGCTCTCCTCCATTTTTACCTTCCTGCGCTGCCGGTGCAGGCTGATGTCAGCGCATGCATATAACCAGAAAGCTACATGAATTCCGATCTGAGCGTCACATTCAGGTCGCATGGCCGCGAATCGGATACGTATCCGATTTAGTACCACATATGAAAGTGGCACAAATCCGATTTGAAAAGATCAGATTTGCGTGTCCACACAGTCCTGAAAAGATCAGATCTCTGTCACATTAAGGCAAAAAATCCGATTTGAGTCACTTCAGCATGGCAGTGTGAACGTAGCCTTAGACTCCTACTCTGACTCCCACATTAAGGCATACTCTGACTCCCATACTAAGACAGACTTTGACTCTTAGTCTGACTTCCACGTTAAGGCATACTTTGACTCCTACTGTGACTCTCACATGAAGACACACTTTGACTCCCTCTTGGTTGATACCTGTTCGGCCGGGGTCAGCTTGACAGCGTAAGAGATTATGACTTCTCTGTGTTCCCTCTGCAGCTCCTCCAGTGAGGTTCTGTTGTCTGGACCCACTGGGAGCTTCAAGGTCAAGGTCACTGATTTCATCACAGGGGAGATGGACACCTCGGGACTCCCCAGGACGGCTGCAGAGGTACGAAAGGCAAAGCCAAAGACAAATGAAACTGGCTGCTTTTGTGGCAAGCTGAATTAAAACACGACATTTATGTTAAGGCTAATTCGCAGGAAGGAGTGTGATGGGGCACTCTTACTGTCTCTTATTGGACAGAACCGGGGGGAGAGCACTGGCTTGCCCCCATTGGCTGCGACTCTCCCGTGGTACAGCTCCGTGATGTCGGTCGTCTCGGCCGTCAGGTCACATGACAGCGCTGTAATGTTTTGACATTCCTGCTTCTCCTTCCACTCACTACCGTAGCTGCAGAACGACAGAGGAGACGCAAACAGTTCCATGTTAATGAAGCTGAATTCCGAGCAGCATATACCCTGTGTTAGAATCCTGTAATGGGCATAACTTACAGAACCTTAGAACGTGGCTATATCCCTTGAAAGTGGCAGGACTGCACAAAACACTTCCTGCTGTGTTCTTAAAGGGCACAGGCAGGTAATTAGTTGTCCGCTGTCTAACACATTCGATTCTGCAGCATTCCCTCCACACGGAGGACTGGGACGGGCTCTCACTATCTCTGAGCTCTGATTCCCTGAGGAGATCAGACGCATGACGGACATGATTAACGAATCACAGAGGTCTGGTCCTGGCCGGGTGCAACTCTCACTGTCACAGCTAATATTCACCGCCACCGTCCCGTGCTTCGAGAATGACAAAAATCACTCCACGCGTGACCATCAACGGGCAGACCTGTAGCATCGATCGCGCACTCGTGAATGAAGCGTGCCCAGTATTGTGGGGCACCGTAAGCTGGTGGAAGAAGCAAGCCAAGGATGATATTTCGTGTCTGGTTGACAAGCCTGCGAAGTGAATCGGCAAGCTGAGTAGAGGGATGGCTTTGCTTTCTCCCACACGGCCAGAGAAACACCCCTGCATTATGGGCAGCCGGACTGCTCCCACGTCCCACAGCTGCTCACGGACCCAACAAAACGTCTTTATGCTTTGGCCAAGGAGCGATAGCGTGGACATGGGAAACAAACAAACAGATGAATGGACGGCAGAAAGAATCGCAGAGGCGGCTTTTGATCGAAACAAACACTGTGCATTAAACGCCACGTCACAGCGGATCGCAAGCCGGCGAAAGACAAAGACCATCCCTGCGGGCCGGGCTGGTTAAATCCTGGTGGTTATTCGAGCATGTGAGATAACGGAAGGGGAGGGTCTCGCGGGCGACAGAATACGGTGCTGATGGAAGTGCAGATGGGGTCACACGTGTCAGCAAGGTCGGACTTCAGGGTCAAAACAACGTACAGCCGCCCAAGCTGCACGATAACAAAATGCAAATGGTGTGACGACGCAGCGCTAATCGTTTCAATGAGGACCTGAATTACCCTGGACATGAAAATCCTTCCGATCACTTTAAATGGATTACATTACCGTTTTGACCCCCAGGCGCAAAAGAGTGTGGAGAATCCATTAAAGTTCAGACGGGATCAATTCATGACAAGTGAGCAAGAAATAAAGTGTTTAAAGGGAAGGAAGGATACTTATTTCAAATGACAAGCACATATGTGGCTCATATAGCCGTGGCCCAATGTGCCTTTATTGTATTTTGTTTCTCACCTCTCAGTCTTTGGTGTCACCCCCCACCCCCATATCTGTCTGAGTTTCTATGTTCTCTCTGCGGCATCCTGTTTCCGCCCGCAGTACAGAAACATGCGATTAGGTGGTGTCTCTGAATCGTCTTTGGCGTGTGTGAGTGCGACTGACCCACGCAGGGTGTCCCCCATCTCCTACTCTAAGGCTGCAAGGTCTCAGAGACCCTCTGCTGGACCAGCTTTTATGTCAGATGGATCAGCCCTGAGCTAAAGTACAATATGTTTCAGTGATTTGGTCCTTTCAATTACTTTTAATTAGAAATATGCCCAAAAAACCTTGAACTCAGCAAAAAAACTTGAGATAAACAGCCAACAAACCTCTCTCACAATTTAAAAAAAAATTGAGACATGAAGCTGAATTTGGTGATGTCATCCTGGCACATCTAAATAGAAATGTACTTGTTTCCATGGACACAGCTACTCTGAAGCCAATAGCCTTTTTCTTGTGTGATCTAATAAGGGATGTACATTACTAAATAATGACACACGTAAATACCCAATCAGCCATCTTCAGAGCCCCCTGCTGGTGTAATTGCACCCTTTCTAGATCCACACCAGTTCCTGCGAAGACCCCAAGGTGCAGCAGTCTGTGGAGAGGAAGTCATTTTGTTGCTGCCAGTCCCTGCAGATGGCTGTATCTCTGAGGTAGATCTGTTTTCTACTTGGTTATGACATATTATCGCATTACCCCAACAACTGGTTAAAAAAAACAACCGATATCTATCATGCCAGCGCATATGAGTACCGTGAAGTCTGATACAAGCACTCAAAGACTTTGGAATTGTCTGTGCCTCAACAAAACTCAAATGATATGAGCCCCCCCCCCCCGTTATATTCAAGAAAGTAGAAGGAGTTCAACTGCTGTGGGGCGATCTTTGGTGTAACATGTCAAGCCTTAGCCTCTGACAAGTCATAGCAAATGATAAGCAGAATTAGCCCAATTCCATTAGCACCTCAGTCTGAGGCTCTGCCTTTGCCCCGCAGCTCAAGATAATTAATAATACAGCTGTCTTTTTTGAAAAGGTTTCTCAGAGACATTTTATTACCCTTTACTCTACGGTGGGGATGACTGATGGTGAAGAAAACTGCCGCATGCGATGACCTTGACTGGACGACAGACTTTGTGAGGTCACAGTTTATCATTTATCAGCGGATTTTTAAAATTTATTTATTTATTTATTTATTTTTAACAGCTGGACTCCTCCAATGAGCAGAAGACTCTGGCAACACGTCATACAATGGGCCACAAATGCTTAGTAATATCTCAGTTACTAATGATATAAAAATCAAGAACAAATCATGAACAAATGTAGCCGCTACTTGAGATAAAAGATGCATCACCATTCATTGATCATGAACAAACATGAGTATTTAACTTGTGTTATTCATTACTTGTTCCTTCAGTAGTTCACAAAGATTTACAGAAATAACAGATAAAGTAACAAATATAGTAACTGCTTGGGATGACGGATGCATCATGATTCTTTAATGGTGAATTTACATAAGAGTATAACTCCGTCAGTAATTCACAAAGATTTACAGAATTAACACATATAGTAAATATAATAACTTCTCAAGACGAAACATGCATCACGATTCATTATTGTTGAATTGATATGTGATCAGTATGTAACTAAGACTTAGTTTGTGATTAATTAATGCCAAAGTAATAGCCTAATACCATATTATTTGTGCCCCAATAAGTAAAGTGTTACAAAGATGATTACATAATAGCATCCGGCAATGCAGGATCCTGAAGAGGAAAGCCCACAGTATGCCGGCCGCGGTATTCCACAACAGGGGTCCGGCCTGGCAGCCGCGATATCCCACATCAGGGGTCCGGCCTGGCAGAGCCGCGGTGGCTAATCGAAAGTATCTGGGGAATCTGGTGATAATGTCATGGTTGTGGGCTGGTTGGGAATTAATGATGTAGCAGAGGTACAGTTACTCAGCCGGTGGAAATGCAAATCAACCTGGACCATGTGGTAAATTTTATCGTTAGCCCCCCACCCACATACCCCCCCGCAAGGTGGGTCTAGAGTGTGTCCCGAACCAGCCCAGGGGCTCGAGTTCCTGCCCCCTGGCAAGAGGCCTGGGATCTTAGCTGATGTGGTTTTTCTCAGGCTACCAGGAGGGATATCATTGAAAAACATGGAGTCCAACTTCCAAGAGCAATGCTATTGTGCACGTGGGTAAAAACTGCAATTCACTTTTATAATGAAAGATAACTGTATGAATACAATGGAAAAACATTGTTGTTTGAGTAATTCCCATGTGAGGAAAGAGTCGTCCACTGGCAGGTACTCACATATTGTACTGAATACTGTAGAGAATGGGTTCATCAGTACTGTTTGTCTGGTTCCAGCGAAGGACGTTGCGGAAGTTTCTGGACTCAAAGTACGGGTTTCCAAACTGGAGCACTTGTGCAATCGAACAACCTGAAGAGGGGCCAGATGGAGGCGGGTGAGTGGATTATGTCATCGCCATGGGCAATGGGAAGAGGGTCTGTCAGTTCTGACATCCCAGCAGAAAAACTGAGTTTAGTAGGACAGGAGGACTGAAGGAGACCCTGCAGAGTTTGAAGAGTGCTTCCCCTCGGAAGAATAGGTGCTCTTAGGCCTAACGAGTCCCTATATCCCCAGCTGCTTCAGTGGAAGAATCGGTCCCATCGACTGGCACTGGGAGTTTGGCATCTTAGAGTGGACCAGGGGTCTAAATTTAGCCCATCTGAGATTAGCCCATCTCTCCACACCAACCTCACATGGCACTGTTTTCTTTCAAAATATCAAATGTCCAATAGCAAAGTCAGTCATGTCATTATGTCCTTAGTTACCAGAGTCACCAGAATACATACATACATACATACATACATACATACATACATATATATATATATATATATATGAAGCAATACTGGGAATACAAAGTCTGTGGAAGCTTATTATACATCATAGATTATTCCACAGCACTAAAAAACACTTTTTTAAGGACTAATGAAAAGTCTGACAGTATAGTCATATTTTATGCTGTCCAATAAAGATTATATTTCCAATGGAGCCTTCACATTAAAGTGAAAAATATTAGGGCTCAGTCCTTTTAACAATTCACTAATTAACTTGCCTGCCCCCCCAAAGCCTCTTTAGCTTATAGCAGCACCCACCAATCGCCGAAAACCCTTGAGAGCGACCAGCACAGAAAGACCCTGAAGGCACTCACCAACACAGCAGAGGACCAGAATGGTGGATCTTGAAGACCACATGGCCGGCAGGTGAGAGGAGCAATATCCTTTAAGAAAGCCAGTCTCCCAGATGCCAAGACTCACATCTGGCCATTGAAAACCAAAGTGAAGTAGCTGACAAGGAGGAGACCAGCCTACATGTCACTTCTCTGCTTGGTCCGAGACAGTTTGGAATTATGTCTCACCTGAATCACACGCCGTATCGCAAGAACCTTATACAGGTGCGCAGGTGGACTTTGGAACTATTGTTGTTCCTGATTTTTTTTTTTCTCACCCCTCCCAACTTCCCCTCCCTCCCGTTCTCACCCTCACGTCCGCCAAACCGCGGCCGTTTCTCGTCTTTCAGGTTTTCACAGAACTGTCTGCGTGCCTTTCTTTGCAGTCATCGAGGCAGTGACAGAGAGAGAGAGAGAGGGAGAGACGTTCCATTTGTAAGGAAGCCACACACTCACGGAACCTCAGTGGCACTCAAAGCGGCGGCTGGGGAAAGCACCCGCCGGTGACACGTGCCATGAACCCTGCTGGGTGTTAGCTTAGCGTCATGCTAGTCAGCTTCAGGCAGACTGCTGCCTTTGTATGGTAGTCATCATCAGGAATGATGACATGAGATTGAAGTGTTCAGTAGGTGGATCTTCAGGGTATAAATATAGCTGTTTAGGAGTTCATTCAAAAAAGGATGATACATTCAGGACAAAATATTTTTCCTTCACATCAGACTAGTGTGTGTGTGTGTGTGTGTGTGTGTGTGTGTGTGTCTTGGTTCCTGACTGACTTCATGGCTTTCTGCCATGTGATGTCTCCCCCACCTACCATGACACCAGTGCGGCCCCCCTTGACTCTGGCGTCTTTCCTACTTTGACCTCTCCTCCGCTCATCCTGCCGTCAGAAGCAACACCTTCATCTGCCTACCCTGACATCAGCATCCATAACTCCACTGGACCTTACGCTTTTAATCTGAATACCTCTGCCGGCCCCTGCAGGATGGGCTCCCCCTTTGAGTCTGGTTCCTCCCAAGGTTTCTTCCTTCTAGGGAGTTTTTCCTTGCTACTGTCACATCTGGCTTACTCTCTGGGGGCTTTGGGTAGGAATAATGTAAAGTGCTTTGAGACAATGTCATGTTGTGAAAATGCGCTATACAAATAAAATTTAATTGTAAATTTAATTAAATGAGGGCACCTTAAATCTGTTATGTCGGATGGGGGGGCACGTACAACTGCTATTAAAACTCACACTATCTGTCAAGGTTGCCCAGCACACCGGATGTAAATGCAGAGAAAATGGGGAGTGCAATATTTCTCTGAAATGCAAATGCACACCATGACTCTCCTCCCAGCCAATTAAAATTCTACATTAAGGGGGTCACAAAGTAAAACTCAATATGTGAAAGGGCTGCCCTTTGAAATGAGGTTATGCACATAGCAGGAAACCAGAATTATGTGGTTTACAAAGTTTCAGCAAGCAAATCTGTAGCAAGAAACAGGTAACCCCTGATAAGAAATGTTTACATTTACTGTCAGATAAAAAGAATTACACAAGTTTGACTCCTTCTGTTACGCTAAAGTGTCAACACAGAGAAAATCAAAATGGACATTTTGGCAACACAAACGTTGAGCTGGTGGAAACCTTCTCCCTCTAAAACTGAACATGTAACGCTTGAGGACGCTGCCGAAAGCCTGGAACATCACAACCGGTTCTCATGGCACTTTCCACATTCGTTTTTCCTTTCCACTTCAGAAGCCAGCAGTTCTCATGTCAATGTATGACAAATTAATTAGCTGTCCCACAATTAGCTTATTTTTCTTCCCTCCCTGCAAACAGTGTTGAAATGCTAATTAGCGATGCCGAAAGGAGAGCAGCGACGACGCAGGGAAAATTAAGCCAAACTAAATAAACAACAGGTCCCGCAGCGTGGGCGTCCACACGGCGGTCTCCTGAAGAAAACAAGCATCGGAAAAATGGAAATGTTGCCGGAGGAACACCTGGAAGCGAGCAGCCCTGCAATCCGGCCTAGTGGCAATCAGAATCGCCGGCAGCTGAATCGGCTGAGCTGGTTTCAGCCATCAGGTACACAGAACATCTACACTGACATGAAATACTTTGTAATATTGTCCTAGTTTCCCAGCCTACTGCGTAACACCAAACATTGCCATGTTCGGAACGTCTTCCATGTTGTTCCGGTGTTTTCACCGAAGGATAACTTAGCATGCGCTAACTAGGCTATTATGAGCAAACCTTGCTGTGATATTTTCACTACTCCCCAAATAGCTGCTAAACAAACAGAAAAATAGCCAGTGTCACTCCTGGAGGGGATCATACTGCCCATTTGCGACCGCTGAGGAAATAGGGGCCACTACTACAGCTTAAGGGTGTGGATCTCGCCTTCGATTCAGCATGTAATTTAAAAGCCACTGCCACTGCGAATACTCTGCGTTAGCGGTGGGTGATCCAAGACTTGAATGCCAAACACATCTGATGACAAACGCTGCTGGTCTCACCCAATGAAGAAGCTTCAGACTTGAGATGTGAGAAGGCAATGAGATGTGGGGCAAAACAGGCACATCTACTGAATTCCTGTGTTTCACACAGTTTATAGCAGCCCTGAGTGTCTTTTAATTAAATGTTTATTGATTTCACCAAATAGACTAATGTGACGGAGACAAAATTTGCACGATAAGAACAAACTATGTTTCTTGTGTTTCTTCTGTCTTGCACAATGCCTATTGCGTGCAACTACATACAGCAGTACCTCCTATGTCCCACAGGCAATAATGGCTCAAGCAAACTTTATCTGCTTTATGCGTTGATAACCTTAGTCTGTCATGACTGAACTGTGCATGTTAGGTCCAAAGGAAAAATCTGTAACTCTATTACAGAGCAACTTGCTGCTACCTAAGGTAATGCTGTTATAATAGAGCAGGTTGATTATAATGACAATAATGGCAATAGGTTTAACTGATACTGCAAAGAGATTCGCCTCCAATTACTAGGAAGTCAGAATCCATTCTCGGCGATCATGTTGCCTACCAGAGTGGGTCGGACATTGGCTATATGATATCCGTGTGGAGACTGTTGGATAAAAAATGGTGTGGAGAGACCCCTTAAAAATAAATAAATAGATAAATGTCTCTCTGAGCAGGCAATAGACTGAAGGCTGTCTGGCCGGGGGGTCCCACTGTTTGCTTTCAGCCTGGTAAGAACTTGCCCCTGGATCAGAGCAGAGCAGTGAAGGTTTTGGCTCCTCCTCCACTGTCCGCGGCACCGTTTTTCTTCTGCAGTCCGCCGTGGTGACCTTCAGCGGCCTGCTCTCAGGCCCTGCTTTTATCATTCCAGCGGAGAATTACAGGGAGAAGGCTCAAGGCTGACATTTAAGTGTTTTCTGCAAAGGGGAGGCAGGTGTCTGGAAGTGGAGGGGGGGGTTCATGTTCTATGTGGGGAGCAGGAACCTCCGGTTGAAATGACAGCTCCACATGGGGGCCTTTTCACGGCCGCTCATCTGCCACCCAGGCTTTGAAATATCAATCGATAGGCCCAGCGGTCCGGCTTTCAGGTAGACTGCTGCCCGGGGGGGTTAAGGTACAGACCCCCCACAACAGTGCATGAAGGCATTGGGCTGGTCTTGGGCTTACTAGGCTAACCTTATACTTCAGGAAAACCAAGATAATTAAGTGGACTGGAGATTACAGTCATCCGTATCCATTGGAAACGGAGCCATGGGTCACATGATGTCTCTTTTTGGGCAGCCCCGCTTGATGAAACACCCAACACCAAGTGAGCGGCCCCCCAACCCCAGCCTCCGAGAGGTTGGATGGGATGTGCCCCACAAGACTAGGTAATAATCTCTAATGATACCGCTTTCAATGAGGTTAGGGACGATGAGGGGACCCCAAATTAAAAGAGACAGAGAATGCGTGGCCCAAGGTCCTACTACAATTACTTATATATAACTAAAAAGAACAAATTTGTGCTGAAGCTAAGCTCTTTATCTCAGAGGGTGGTTTGCATTGCAGAACTGAAACAAGATCGCTCGTTTTCAGAACTGAATGCCAGTCATTTAGCCGGTAACACTGACCCACAAGAATGGCTTTATCCTTGGCCAGGGTATTAAGATGCAGAGCTATTTGCACAACAGCCCTCTGCTTCAATCCCCCTGAAGTCCTTCTTCCTGCTGTTGTCGGGTGGCAATGGGAGGCATCGCCTTTTCCAAGAGGAGTGCCTCAAGGATGGGTGCTCGGACCACTCCTGGTTCCCATCCACTGGCGCTGGATCACAGGGTCCTGGCATTGCCATACACAGATTTTGCAGCTTCGCTTTTCTTATATCGCATGGATCACTGCGTGCCAAGGGAACTGCCACCGTCACCTGCAGCCGCCAACTTCAACTTCCCCATCTCATTTGGGGAAGCAAGTGTTTCTACCTCCGCCACGGGCCAGGCCTGCGCTGTTGTTGCCCGTAACAACCAGCTTGTCTCCTACTACTGTCTGACCACGGTTACTACAGCGTGGATATGTATCTTTTCTTCTGGGGCGTAGTGCTCTCAGTATTGCACTGGGATTATCTTAAAATCTCCTTTGTACTCTACACAATCTCCACTTGCTCTCCACTCAACAGTCTTTTTCTTTCCATTCCATTGCCAGCATTGCCATAATTAAGAGGAACACTCGCCCGACTTCCTCCCTGTGTTGATGCTGAATTGCTAGGCTAACATACGGTTTTATAACACCTGAGCCACATGTTAATTTGTGTGTAACATCTGTATGCAAAGCACAAGCTGGTTGCTAATGTACTATGCAAATCTCACTCACGTCGGACTTATTTATATCCATAAGAGGGTGATACATGAATTGATGGTGTTTATTAGCAAAGCAGTCAAAGTCTGTTTTAAGAAGTGATGGAAAACACACAGCCAGAAATGGGGAAAAATACTTAAAAATGTATTTTGATACAATATACCAAATATCCTATTTGTAGGTGCATCAAAATAAACTACAAAATACAGCCACCAAGCAAAGTATGAAAATAAACTAAAGTATTTTGGGACCTAAAGATACAAAAATGCATTTCATGCGTTACATTCTATATCAGCCTGTTCCATCACAAGCACACTGACTCAAATGGCAAAGCGCAAGAGCAACATGCTTATCAAGACACATATGTGAAACCAGACAAAAGATCAAATATTCTAAAGTGTCTTAAATGTATCCCAACTACTCACATGAACACTTGGATAATGGAAAGTCAATCGAATGGAAGAGTAATAGTAACAAACTCATAAAGATTTTTTTTTATTTAATTGACAAAACTGCCACAGATGCAATTAACTCAAAACAACGAAATTTAAAATAAAAAAATGACAAATGCAATTTAAGCGTTTCACTCAGCAACATCTTAAAAACATTAAACATGAATAGGCCTGAATGGAGTCTTTTGGATCAACACAAGTTATTATCACTAATGGTCATTCATTAAAATGTCTGAAAAAACTGAACTTCCTCCTTGTGTATACACTTTGTGTATGAATATTGCATCATGTATACTGTACATTATGGTGAAGGCATTTCTTGTATTTTCAAAATACAAAAATTCTGAACATCAAAGTATTTTGATACAAAATACTTGACATTTTTATGAAGTCAAATACAAATTACAAAATACAATTTTGTATTTAAAATATACATATAAAAATACGTATTTTAAATACATCTATCAGAAATACTGCCCATTCCTGCACACAGCACTGCTGCAAATGGGCACATTCTCTCAAAGTTCATCACATAGCACCTACACACTGGCATTTAACTGGTGAACTGAACAGGAGGGTTAAGTAGCCATCTGCCTCTACTTTTGTGAGTATGCATGTGATGGTTATTGTTCCCACATTCTCCAAGGTCTGGGTACCATGTGGTATCACCAGGAACAGGCCATTGGATTGGTCCACCAGGAACAAGGCATTGGATTGGCTCATCATAAACAGGCCACTGGATTGGCTTAGCAGAAACAGACCATTAGATTGACTCAACAGGAACGGGGCATAAGATTAGCTCACCAGGAACTGGCCATTGGATTGGCTC